TTACAGGGGACAGTGCCCAGGTCACAGCCTTGCACCGCTCCTGCTTCCCCAGTATGTTAGGGCAGCAGGGGGCACCATAGAGACAGTCTGGCTGGATGCCAGAGCATCTCTGGAGGTCTGAGCCCAGGCCTGGGGAACTGTGCCCTGCACTGTTTTTCTCTGCAGTGTTTTTATTTGATACCTGGAAATCCAGGGATCAGATTTTGAGCCCACACTGCAAATATGCAGCATGGGGGACACTTTTTCATTCGCAGTGTGCCTCTTGCGGTGTCTCAAACTGGTTTGAGACATCACAAGAGGCATGTGTGCGCTCATCTGGATGCACCCAACAATTTCAGTTAGGGCAGAAGGGCAAAAGAAAGTAAATAAAGCAAAACTAAGTGAACAAAAGAGGTAGGAACCTGCTATAACTTATGGCCAATAACATTCTGGGTCCAGGTTTGAAACTGCCAGGCTGTGTGCTCCACATCATTGTGATACAATAATTGCACACAGATACTACTACTCTTAAAACTACATAGGAACATAGAATCATAACAGAGTGGAGCTGGAAAGGATCTCTGGAAGTTATCTGGTCCAACCGCTTGATCAAGGCAGGATCATCCCTATCTAAGCCATCCTAGACAAATGTCTGTCCAATCTTTTCTTAAAAACTTCTGGAGCAACCCTCACACATGACTACCAGACATAATGCCCAAACATACATACCCCACTGATGGGAACAGAAAAAAATAATACAGACCTCAACAAAAAGACAACCACATTCTGGTTGTGGACAAAGGTACACTTGTAGCTGATTCAAAATGGAAGGGGGAGTTGTTGGGGACTAAGCAGTAGGTATTACATGGTAGCTGTTCAGTCTGCATGAACCTGAAATGAAAGAAGCGAACTAAGTCACTCTAACTTTGGCTTGAGGTGAAGCACAGTTAAAATCGAAGTGTTTCTGCTATTCTGATATCACTATAATAGGGTCTTGCAAATGAAACAGCTACAAGAGCATAACAGCTACTGCTCACTCCTAGGGAGAAGCTCTGTCCTTTTGGAGTAGCTATAAATGTACTTTTAGTCAAAATCATCTATTTTTGTGAAACCAGGGTGAATGGGGTAGTCCATATAGGTGGACATTTCCACTGAGTGAGGGGAAATTTGCACCCAGATCTGGCTCCTTGATAGATCTGTAGATTTCATAGATTTCAAGGGCAAAGGAGAAAGATGATTTTAGGACTAGATGGCTGAACCAAAAGTACAAAAAAAGATATGGTTCGGTTTGAACCAAAACTGAAGCCTTTTACTCTTTTAATAAATACAAAATAATTTTGGTTTTGGTTGTCTCAAACTATAAAGTTTAGTATCATTTCTAGGTTATTTTTCTTTTCTTTTTGGAAAGAAAGGTTCTTAGCCAAGTTACAGAACCTCCATCTAACCCAGGAGGTGCACAGTCCCACCAGGGGAAATGCCTTGTTATACCTGGTCCTGCCCACAGGCGATAACCTGGTGAGGGGACTGCGGGTGCTCGACCACCTGGGAGATAGCGATCCTCACCTATTGGAATTCACCATCCAGTGCAGGGTGTCAAAGGCCTGCAGCAAGGCAGCAGCCCTGGACTTCAGGAAGGTAGATTTCAATGAGGTAAGGAGACTAGTCGGGGAGGCACTGAGGTCCCAGAGGGGAGGGGAGTTGGGAGTCCAAGAAGAGTGGTCGTTCCTTAAGGAGATGATCCTCCCAACCGAAAGGGTGACAATCCCAACCCGGATCAAAGGGGGCAAGAGTGCTCAAAAGCCCCCATGGCTCACCAAAAGCATCCAGGAACATCTCAAAGCTAAAAAGGAGGCATACACCCAATGGAAGGGAGGGGCCATCACTGAGGAGGATTGCTCAAGATTGTAGGGGGGCTGTTAGGAAGGCTAAGGCAGAGATGGAACTGGAACTACTGACCCGGATCAAAGATAACAAGAAGTCCTTTTTTTAAATATATAGGGGGTAAAAAGAAGGTACCGGGTAATGTGGGGCCTCTGCAGGACATGCTTGGAAATCTGGTGGTTGCACCAGACGACAAAGCTAACATTTTAAACAATTTCTTTGCCTCCATTTTTCTGAACAGGGACTAGGTCATCTTCCCCACTGGGTACCTGGACAGATCCAGAGGAGGTGCAGCTAGGCCCAGAGTCAGTGAGGATCTAGTCAGGGAACTTCTGGTGGGACTAGATGTGTTCAAATCAGCAGGTCCTGACAATCTCCACCCCAGAGGACTGAGGGAATTGGCAGAGGTCATTACGGGACCCCTGGCACAGCTCTACGAGCACTTACGGTGCTCCAGCAAGGTGCCAGAGGACTGAAAAAGGGCCAATGTGGTCCCCATTTTAAAAAAAAGGAGGAAGGAGGACCCAGGAAACTACAGGCCTGTTAGTCTTACCTCGGTCCTGGGGAAACACTTTGAGAAAATTATCCAGGAGCACATCTGCGAGGGGCAAACAGGGGAGACTATGCTTAGGGGTAACCAACACGGGTTCATTAGAGGAAGGTCCTATCAGACTAACCTGGTGGCCTTCTACAACCAGGTCACAAAATCCTTGGACACGGGTGTCACGGTGGACGTAGTCTTTCTGGACTTTAGGAAAGCCTTCAACACTGTCTCTCACCCGATTCTCATTAAAAAATTAGGCTCCTATGGTGTTGATACCTGCACAGCCAGATGGGTTGCAAATTGGCCGGAGGGCCGCACCCAGGGAGTGGTAGTGGACAGGTCATTTTTGACCTGGAGGGACGTGGCCAGTGGGGTTCCCCAGGGCTTAGTTCTCAGGACCACACTGTTCAACATCTTCATCAGTGACTTGGATGAGGGGATGAAAAGCACCTTGTTCAAATTCGTGGATGACACCAAGATGTGGGGAGAAGTGGGCATACTAGAAGGGCGGGACAGGCTACAACTAGATCTGGATAGGTCACAGGGGTGGGCAGATGAGAATAGGATGGGTTTCACCACTGACACGTGCAAGGTACTGCACCTAGGGAGGAAGAACCAGCAGCATACCTACAGGCTGGGGAACTCCCTTCTTGTCAGCACAGAGGCAGAAAAGGATCTTGGAGTCATTATTGATTCCAAGATGAACATGGGCCGCCAATGTGAGGATGAGGTCAGTAAGGCTAACCACACCCTGTCATGCATCCACAGATGCATCACGAGCAGGTCCAAGGAGGCGATCCTCCCCTCCTATGCAACATTGGTCAGGCCACAGTTGGAGTACTACGTCCAGTTCTGGGTACCACACTTCAGGAGGGATGTGGACAGCATCGAGAGGGTCCAGAGGAGGGCTTCTTGCATGATTAGGGGGCAGCAGGGCAGGCCCTACGAGGAGAGGCTAAGGGACCTGAACCTGTTCAGCCTCCACAAGAGAAGGCTGAGAGGGGATCTGGAGGTCATCTATAAACTGGCCAAGGGGGACCAGCAGGCAATGGAAGAGTCCCTGTTCCCCCGAGCACTACCGGGAGTAACAAGGAAACACGGCCATAAGTTGACGGAGAATAGATTCAGGCTAGATATCAGGAGGCACTACTTCACAGTCAGGGTGGCTAGGATCTGGAACCAACTTCCAAGGGAAGTGGTGCTTGCCCCTACCCTGGGGGGTCTTCAAAAGGAGGCTAGATAATCACCTTGCCAGGGTCATTTTTCCCCAGTACTCTTTCCTGCCATGGCTCAGACAGGGGCTCAGACTTGATGATCTGTTTAGGTCTCTTCCTACCATACCAGCTATGGAACTATGAAACTATGGAAAAGCTTGTCCTCTCTCTCTCTATCACTCTCAGTATCTTTAGGTTAATTTAAAAATGTGACTTAGAAACAAAACATCAACATTTTCATTTAAAAAAGTCAAATCAAAATATTCCAGCATTTCTGCAATTAATATATTGCCATATTCAAAATTATTTATCTTATTTTTCATTGAAAAAAGTTACCAAATGTGACCAGTATTTGTGTATAGTTCTGATCCCTTCAAATCTCCATTTTAAGCACATTTACTGTATGTCAAAAAAAAAAAAAGAAAATCCTTCAGCTCTTGTGAGCATCTGGTCTCACCTACTTTGTTTAGTATGCCATGGAATATAAGAAGTCATATTTCTAAATGGCCTTGGTCTTCTGATTTAAGCTTCAGCATTTCTTTTAAAGACATGCCCAGACTGATTTAGAGTATGATTGCATGTACATGTGGAACCATTTAAAAAACAGAAGTGTTTCCCAAGGGCAGCGGCTGTAATGTTCTAAGTGTTAAATGTGGACAAGAAGGGTTGGTTACAAATGCAGCAAAACTGCTCCAACTTTAACACTGGAAGAAGCTATTGGAAAATCAAGGAGTTAAAAAAAAACATACTGCCATAATTTCATGTAAAGCCAAAATCTTTGCAATAAAAAGTTCAAGATTTTTGGGTTACGAAGAAGAATGTACAGATCCAGGTTTCTGGCATAAACAGTATTTTTTTAGGGAAAACTGATACTTGGCATGTACGTTTCCATTTAGTCAGCAACATCATTTCCCACTCCGAAGAGCTTCTAACATTAAAAAAACTGTCCTGAAAGCTCAAGCTCTGAGAACACAGTTAAGGTTTCCAGTTCAATTGCAGGTGGTGGCCTTACAATGATCTTTTTGGGTTGCTGTTGTCATACATTTTCAAAAATTGGGTTAGCACTTAGGAGCCCCAAGCATGGGCCGGGACCCTACTGTGAGAGGCACTGATCAAACACAGATCTTATATTGTAATATTCTTCTTTTTTCAAAGAGGCACAATGGGTCATACATTATTTTCCTATTTTTGGTTACTTTTTAAAAATAACGATTTTTTTAAAATCTATTACATTTTTCTATTGATATACTTTTGGGCATTCCTTGTCTATTTCTGCTCTCTCTGTGAATAGGAAGGGTGACCCCTGGAGACAGAAAATATACTGGCGGGAGAAAAATTGAAAGTTCTGTATGCAGAATGAAAATAAACTTTAAATGGCTCACCAGATCCTGTGTGTCGGAATGAACAGTGGTAGGGATGAAAGCAGGCTTCTTCTTCTGTGAGAGGGGAATCAGACAGTGATTCCAAGAAATATAGAACAAAACAGCATTGAAAATAATGTTTATCTTTCTTGAATAAAACCTTGATCAAATTAATAGTAGGATTTTTACCTAGTATAAGTTAAGAGATGACATATTGCACCCCATATCAATGGGTGAGAACTAAGAATCCTTGAGCAAGTTTATTTAAAGAATCTCAGCTCCTGCATCCAATCGAATTGCAAGGAGCATCATAGTTTGAAATTATATTGTTGTGTACATTGGAAAAGAAAAACTGGCAAATGGTTTAGTTTATGAATTAAATGGAAATCAACTCCATTAGGAGAAGAGATTAGCCTGAGTCCAGTTCTAGCTAACTGGTGTGCTGGTTAAATGTATCTTCTTTCTCACCAAAGAACAGGGAGTTGCTGGGGAAGAGTAGGATATTTTCACGAGAGCTTTATAGTGATAAAAAACCTAACAAGTTTCAGATCTCAGGCATGAAGAGATGACTTGGGATCAAATCCCAGGATGGCAACTAACTTGCATGTGGTTTTTTCATGGTAGAAAAGGCAGTGGGAAATTCAGAGCAAAGCAACATTTTGTATTTCAGTAACTGTTCCCTCCCCATTCATGTTTCTCTTCATAAATTTATAGGAAAATAAATTAGTTCAGGTCAGCCAAATATTTTGTTTTCTTTTCAGATTTTTTATCATCTTAAAATTAAATGAAGGAAACATTACGAAAAGTCATTTTGAAATAAAACATAGAATGTTCATTTTGAAGATCTTGAAACAAAAGAATTTGAATTCCATCTTTTCACCTAGAGAGATGGATCTAGTTTCTAGGCCTCCTTTGCCCAGAGAGGGCATGTCCACACATGCAGGCACATGTGCTTGCAGCAGCTCAAATAGGAGCAGCACAAATTTGAGCTGGGGATTTTTGCCTCAGCGCATGTGCCCAGACATGAACTTTGGTGTGGGGCAAGTTTTGCCACTTGGGACAAAATAACTCTGCCCAGCGCTTCCTGGATCTGTAGCCAGGGAGAGCTAGAGGCTGGGGCAAGCACCTGTGCTGGCTCCAGCAATATGAAAACCTGCCCTGGTGAGCAGCTCAGGGCTACTTGCCCTCAGGAGCTTCTGAGGCCCAGCCAGTTGGTATCTGGGGATACTACCTCTTGTGCCAGCTGGACTGCTGAAGCAGCCCTAACCTGAAGTGGCCCTTGCCCCTTCTACCCAGTGCAGCACTCTGGCAGTGGGTAGGGCTGTGTGAAATTTCAGCAGCTGTTTTGTTTCAGAGGTGTTTTGGCCCATTTCAGCACCCCAAACACTGAATCTGAAAACAGAAGGCTGACTGTGCCCAGCACCAACACCCACATCTGCTCAGTGCAGTCTGCACCAAGCACTGCCAGGGGAGCTGCAGGAGAAGCCCCCATGGTTGCCCTACCCAGCCCCATTGCCCACCTGGCCCAGCCTCCCGGCACTTAAAAAAAAAAAAAAAAAAAAGCCCCCCACTCACCAGCTGGAGCAGGGGCTGGGGGGGCCCCGGCGGGGGCCCCCATGCAGCCCCTGCTGCCTGATCATTGCCCCCTGCCCTGCCTGGCCCCAGCAGTCAGGGAATCCAACCCCCACCCAGAAAACCCTGCACTCACCGGCTGTAGCAGAGGCTGTGGAGACTCTGGGCCCATGTGGCAGAGCCCCCCCTGCACAGCTCGCGCTCCCTGATCTCCACCCCCTGTCTAGTTCCACCCCTGATGGCCCCCACCACCTAGCCCCAGACTAGTCCCAGCACTTAAAAAAAAAAAAAAAAAAAGAAAAAAAAAAAGCCCCGCACTCACTGGATCTGGCAGTGGCAATCAGGGCCTCTGGGGGATTGTGGCAGAGCCCCGACCCCCATGCAGCATGAGGCAGTGGGAGGCAGCAAGGATCACCCCCCCCCCCCCCGGCCCTCACATGAGCTGACCCATGGCATGAGTGCAGCATGGCTAAGCAGCATGCTGCATGCTGTCTGGGAGCTGAGGCCACTGGGACTGAGTGGTGCTGGGCTCCTGGTGACACGTGGAACTGCCCCAGCTCCCAGACAGTGTGCAGTGCCTTGACAAGTTGCACTGCACTTGCACCATGGGGCAGCTGCCACATGGGTGCCAGGCAGGGGGGCAATCCTCACTGCTCCCCACTGCCCCATGCTGCATGGTGGGGAGCTCTGCCATGAGCCCTCAGAGACCCTGATTGCTGCTGCCAGAGCCGGTGAGTGCGCGGCTTTTTTTTTTAAGTGCCAGGACTAAGCTGGGGCTGGGCAGGGGATGGGACTGGGAAGGGCAGCCATGGGGCCTTCTCCCACAGCTCCCCCCACCCAGGGAGAGGCAGGCACAGCTGGAGGAGGCATGGGAGAACCTGCAGCTGCCTGGCTGTGCCCACCTCTCCCCGGCCAATCCGAATCTCTGAAACTGCATCAAACCTCCAAAACAGATTCAGCCAAATCAAAATGGACCAGTGATCTGAAACACTGAAACAAATCACTGTTCTCTCAAATGGCCGGATCCAAAATCAAAATGAGACATAGCCGTTTTGCACAGCGAAGATAGTGGGCTTAACTGTGAGACAGTTAGATGGGTACAAAGCTGGCTGCGGGGTAGGACCCAGAGAGTCCTAATGAACAGATCTGTGTCATCTTGGTGAGAAGTGGGCAGCGGTCTCCTGCAGGGGTTGGTGCTTGGGCCTGTACTTTTCAACATCTTCATCAATGATTTGGATGAGGGGGTGAAGAGCTCATGGCCAAGTTAACAGATGACACCATGTTATGGGGAAGTGTGGTCACGCTTGAAGATCGCCTACAGATACAGATGGATCTAGACAGGCTAGCAAGTTGGGTGAGTCAGAACGAGATTGTGACAGGGCAACAAGTCTGCCCTGTCACAGAACTCCAGGGAAGCAATGGGAAACAGAGAACTTACCTGGGTTATAAGCCTGAGGAGAGAAAGGGGCAGATATACCTGGATGGAGGTGAGTGAGACTCACATGAAAACAAAAACAAAGAGCTGCATGGGTGGAGAAAGCAAGGAGAGTGCTGGCTGTGAGACACGCAGGAGATGGCCAGAAGGATTTAAAGGGGAATGGAGCCTGGAATCAGTTCCTGAACAAAGAAGAAAGAAATCCAGAAGAAGTACAGAGAGACTACAAGAGATAGATGACAGATGGCAGAGAGAAGGGAACAAAAGAAGAGTCCTGAAGAGAGACTTACCTGGGAAGCCGAAGTGGGATGATGACGAAGACCTTTGAGTTGGCGAGTCCAATGCCTGGGGATGTCTGCTACCTTCCCGGGGACCTAAAAGAGAAAGAAACAAGAGTGGATGAGGATTAACCAAGAGAAGTGAACCCCACATTTAGATATCAGTAGAAAATACAAGGTGGCACAGGATTACCATTTGCTTGGGACCCATGCGAAGAAGAATGGGGCAAGCAACCAAGAAAGTGAGAGTTCCCAAAGAGAGAGGGAACTAAGTATATCCAAGATGTTGGTTGTCTAAGAGAGACATAATAACTGTGCAGAAGGGTTATTTTGCTGAGCCGCAGATGCAATATCTTTTTCATCTCTCAGGACGGTGTTCATTTCCCTACCTTATTCCATCAAAGTCATGGCAGGAAAGAAATAAAGGAAATTAACTTGTTTATATTAAAATGAGAGACTGTGAATTATTTTGCAGGTGTAGCTAAACTCTCACACAGATGAAGTTCAACGTTGAGAATTGTAAAGTGCTCCACCTAGGGACGAACAATCCCTTGCACACCTACAGGCTTGGCAATGCCAGCCTGACCAGCACTGTGGCAGGCCAGTAGGGGGTGTTCCTGCATTGAGCCACCTACCTCACTTCGCCCAACCACCTTCCAGGCTCTGAGTGCCTCCCTGGGGGCACCTCATGTCCGACCAACCCCCTTCCTGGAGCACATCTACAAGCCTGGTGGTAACACCATCACCACCCAGAGTCTGGACTAATTTTGGCCCTGTGTCCCCTGGGAAACACAGGCCTAGTAGCCCTTGAGGGGTACTCGACCTACTGCAACAACTTTTCTGAAGCACAAATGGTGATCTCCCTTAGTCAGCTAAAGCAAGAGGACCCCAAAGCATAATCTAGACCCTCTCCCAATAAGTCTCCCATGCTAGATACAGAGGAGAGTTTTATTGGTTACAAGGAGTAGGTTTGGAATAGGGTACAGGGTACAGGGTAGAGCAATATCAGAGAAATATCTTAGAGCAAACAGTGGCATGGTAGCCTTTGATCACACATCTGAGTTACTGTAAGCTATATATCTAGTTAGATCTCAAGTAGCTTACTCACAAGTATCAGCCAGAGGCAGATGGAGATTCTTTCTGGAGGCAAGCAGTTCATTGAACATGAGTTTCAAGAGAGAGAGTGAGTTTCAGATGGTCCAGCTTCTCTGAGAGTTCTCATCATGGCTGCTGTCCCACCTCCTGGGCAGTCCTTAACTTATATATACCTTATGACCTCATTTACCTGATCCAATGAAGGCCAGCAGCTGTTGACAGCCAGCCAACCAATTTGAAATGCATCACTGGTTGCCAGGTATACTGGCAGGGTCTCTAGCTCCCCCCCAGGCATGATGACATTGCTTAGAACAGTAGGGATTTTAAGCCCCCACTCAGGTGTGTGAGGCCAGTCACATAGGCAGAGGGAGCAGGTTTCCCCCTCCCTCAGGAATGTATCCAGCTCAGGTTATAACTATGGGTTACCTGAAGCTGATGGGGCCAGGGATGTCTGCCCTTTGCAGTGACCATGGTAACCAAATTGTCAAATTGGTCATCTGCCTGATAGCAGAGTTTGGAGGTGAGACAGAGATGGCATTCTGCCACAAGCTCTATGAATGAAAGAGCCCGGGGGTGATAATAGACCACAGCATGAATATGAGCTGGCAGTGCAACTCTGTTGCCAGCAGGGCAAATAATACTCTGGCATTCATCAATCAATGCATTTCCAGCAAGAGCAAGGAGGTTATTCTTCCTCTCTACTCAGCACTGGTGAGACCCCCAACTGGAGTACTGCATCCAGTTCTGGGCACTGCAGTTTAACAAGGATGTGGTAAAACTTGAGAGAGTCCCTAGAAGGGCCAGCTATATGATTAGAGGCTTGCATGGCAAGCCATACAAGGAAAGGTAGAGGGATCTGGGACTCTTCAGCCTGAAAAAGAGAAGCTGAGAGGAGACTTGGTAGCAGCTTACTGGTACATCAGGGGAGGGCATCAGGGGCTCGGGGGACAAACTTTCC